GCAACATTATCTCACAACTGATCAATGCATGTTCAAGAAATAAAGAAGAAAGGAGATAACACAGTGTGGAGCTGGAGGAACACAGCAGGCCAGGCAGTATCAGAGGAGCAGGAAAGCTGACGCTTCGGATTGAGACCTTCTTCAGAAAAGGACTTAGATTTATATGTCACCTTCCATGACCACAGGATGTTGAAATTGCTTTACGTCAATGAAGCATTTTTGAAGTGTGGTCACCATTGTAATGTAGGAAACACAGCAATGAATTGGCACATGCCAAACTCCCTCACGCTGATCAAATTATTTTTGTGATGTGGATTGAAGACTAAATATTGGCCAAGGGTGAAGTTACAATTTGGCCTTTTAGCCTGCTCTGCCATTTCATAAAAGCATGGACGATCCGATTGTATCCTTAACTCCATATATCTACTACACCTGATTATCTCTTATTCAACTTCTCGCTCAAAAATTATCAAAGACATGGTTCCTGCTGCCTTTTGAGGAAGCGAATTTAAAAGACTCAAGATTTTCTGAGAGAAAAAAACTTCTCATCTCTATATTAAATGGACAACCCTTTATTTTTGTACGGTGATCCCGAGTTCTGGATTCTCTGACAAGAGGAAACATCCTTTCTACACTCACCTTGTCAAGATCCCTCCTGATCTTATATGTTTCAGTCAAGTCACCCCTTACTCTGCTCAGCAGGGCCAAGCTTATCCAATCTTTCCTCATAATTCCAGGTATTCATCTACTGAACCTCCTCTGAATTGCTTCTCATGCATTTACACTCTTCCTTAAATAAGAGAACCGATACTGTATGTGATATTCTAGATGCGGTCTAACAAGTGCCTTGTATAACTGAAGAACAACCTTCCTACTTTGAAATTAACGCAAAGAATACCAGAGAAACTCAGCAGGTCTGGTTGCATCTGTGAAGCGAGAAACAGAGTTAAATGTTTCAAGCCTGGTATAATTCTTCTTCAGAACATGCTGGGTTTCTCCAGCATTCTCTGTGTTTGTTTCAGATTTCAGACTCTGCAGTATTTTGCTTTTATTCAACTCCCTACTTTTGTATTTGAACCCCCTCACAATAAACAATAATTTCTATTAGCTTTCCTCATTACATGCTGTACTTGTGTACCACTCTTTTGTGATTCATGCACTGGGATACCCTGATCTCTCACCATCTCTCTGTGAATCTGTTAGGATAAATGTTTTTTATTCTTCCTGGCAAAATAGAGAATTACACATTTTTCCACATTATAATCCATTTGCCAGATTGCCTACTTAGTAAATTTATCTGTATTACTTTGCAGCTTTCTTAGGCTTCACAACTTAGTTTCCCACCTATTTTTATGTCATGAGTAAGTTTAATCACCATATCCTCTGTCCTTTCATTGAAGTAATGTGTATAAATTCATAAAGGTTCTTGTGCCAGCATTGATCCCTGCTCCTGTAATTTGTTACATCCATTTACATCTCTTTGTTTCTTGTAGCTGGCCAATCTTCTATCCCTACCAATATATACTCTTGTACCATGGGTCTTTATTTTTTACAACAAGCCTTGCTGAAACACTTCATGAAATACTTCTGGAAATCGAAGTACAATACATCTGCCAGTTTCCCTTTATCCACAGTACATGTCACTGCCTCAAAGAACTCCGATATTTTGGTCAAATATCATTTCCCTTTCACAAAACTACATTGACACTGCCTTTACCTTTCTAAGTGGCCTGTTATAATGTCTTTGATAACACCTCTAACATTTTGCCTCTGACAGAAGATAAGCTAACTGGCCTGCTTTTGTTGTCTTTACTTTGCAAATAAAGATGTTGCATTCAGTATCTTCCAATCTAATTTAAACTTCTCCAAATCTACTAAATTTTGGAAAACCAAAACCAATGCATCAACAATCTCACTGGCCACTTCTCTTAAGATCCAAGGATGAAGGCCATCAGGACCCAAGGTCATGTGAGCCTGCAACTCCAACACTTTGCTCAGTACCAGTTCCCTGGTGATTGCAATATTCTTCAGTTCCTCCCTCCCTTTAATTTCATGATTCCCAGCTATCTCTGGGGTATTGCTTGTATTTTCTGCAGTAAAGTCTGATACAAAATACCTATTCAATTCATCAGCCATCTCCTAATCTTCCACGATTATTTCCTCAGACTCACTGTCAGTCTGACCAAAGTTCATGTTGTCAATGCATTTCCATCTTTATAGCGATAGAAATATCGAAACAGCTTGCAAGAATTTCAATGTTAGCTTTCTCTTGTAATCTAATTTTTCCCTCCTTATTTATCTCTCAGCCATTCTTTGCTGTTTTTTTAACATTGTGCCACCCATCTTTGTACAATAATATGCTTTCTCTTTTACTTTGCTGTTTTCGTTAACCGTGGATCATGGGTCGTCTTGGAATTTCTCTTTCTCATTGGAATGAATCTATTCTGTGTATTCTGAACTATAACTTTATATGTGTGCTATTGTCTCTCTATTGACCTATTCTGTAGTCTAATTTGCCAGTTCACTTCGGCTCGCTCTGTTCCTTGTCCTCTGACAATGCATTGCTCCCTCAGCACTGACACTATAAAACTGCATTCTCTCAGTCACTGATTGGCTTTCTGATTGGCTCTCTGATCACAATGCTTTCTCAGCACTGGTCCTCCAACAATGCAATCCAACCCCCTGCGTACTGACTTCCTGACTTCTCAGCACTCCCTTTGTTCTGTACCAAAATATCAGACTCGATTTTTATGTTTAATTTTTTGAGTGTACCACAATGAAATGAAGCTGTGCATCAGGCATTGCATACCACCCAAGACAAACTTATATCCTTGAATGTTTAAAGTACTCATATTACTTTCTGTAATTGGTAGCACCTTTCTGTACAGTATAGTTCTTCATACAGGGGCTGATGCCTAAATTAACAGAATGTCATTTTTTGGTTCATGTTTCCAAATTATAGTAACAAAAGAAATTTCACCCATTACACTTCTTTCAAATAGGTGAGTGAATCAGTAATTGAGTTTTTTTGTGACTTTATGTATTAATTTAATTCTGTCTGCCATGAAGTGTTCCTTTAATGCAGATTTGCAATAAATGTAGCAGTTCTTTGATTAACATTCCAAACATGTATCTAGGGACCAGGAAAATCATAAAAGATGTAATTATATGGAATAATTTCTCTACTTTATTATCAGTGTCATAATTGGCCCTTTCATCATTTAGTTCACTTTCATTCAGCTTTCTATGTAGTTTTTATTGGTCTAAATGAAATCATTATAATTTCTCAACTGGTTTCATCCAGTTAAAGTTGACTGGGTAGAAAAGACAATAGCTAGCGAGAGGTAAGATGTGAATATGAAAATCAATGACAAATGATCCAACTATACAACTAACTGCTGACAGAATGGAAAATTCACGGAGCTTTACTTTTGACATTCTGGTCTGGAAAGGCTGACTCAATGATGAAAATTCAATGGCCTTTCAAAGGTTTAATACCAAGGTCTCTCTTTCTCTCCCACTCTGCACAATTTCCATCACGCCACAAATGGCAGTCACGCCATTAGCTACCCAGTTTCTAAACTCTGGAATTCCTGCAGAAGAAACCTGAAACTTTAAGATTGTTTCTCTGTACGCAGATGTTTTCAGACCTCCTGATTTATTTTTTCCGGCACTACTTGTTTACATTTCAGATCTACACAGTCTGCAATAGTTTGCTTTTATTATCACTCTGGAATTCCCTCCTTAAACCTCTCCACATTCATGTAACACTTTCCGACTTTAAAATGCTGCCAAAAACCAACTTCAAATTTGCTTTATATGCTGAAGTGTCTCATTTTGTCTGATAACCCTCCTGGAAATTGTCTTGGGATGGTTTACTACACTAAAAACTTCCTATAAAAAGCACTCTGTTGAGAGACGTCCGAATGGGCCTTTCACATGTTCCAATAACTTTCCGATTAGATCTTTGATATGAGAATAAGGAAACAACCTTGCACAAGAGGAAAGCTTGACTTGCCGAAAGAACTATTCATGATTAATATTGACAATGATCTACACAGGCTCAGATTTGGGGAAGCCTAATGCACCCAGATTGTTTCTATTCCAATTTAGAAACAAAAGTCAGTAATATGTTCCAACAAATTAGTCATTGTGTGTATTAAATATAAAACCTGATGTGACTTGAATCTTGAGGTTCCCAATACTGATGGAGAGAAAACTGAGGTAAGGATTAAAGAATCATCCATATGCCACACTTTGCCATACTCTTTCCCAAATGCGTTGAAAATATTTTCCTTTCAAATTACTTATTCAATGTCCTTCAGAAAGCCACTGCTGAATTTACTTTTACCACCCTGTTTTGACAATAAAGATTATACAGTTGTTCAGAATCCTCAGAATAACCAGGAAATGGTAGCCCTCAGTCATATTTCTAAGATTGGCAAAACCCTGGAAGAAGCTGTAGGAATACAAGCTCAGCAGAGGCAGCTAGCTGAATATGATAACTTGGGAGAATTTAGGGGAGAATTGGAGAGCAATTTGAGGAGAATTTCATTGAGACCAGATATGGTGTGATTGCATCTGGCCCTTGGCTTTGCTGTGTTTGGAATATACGATGTATCCTCTTGTTTGAAGCATTTAGCCTTCTGCTGAAATGATGTATTAAATGGAAGAAATGACTGGTGATGAATTGTTACTCAAGATTGTTCAGTAAATTCAAATATTGCTGTCCCATATATTTTCCACTGCAGCATCTGGAAGCATGACTACTGTTGTATAACATTCAAAATAATCAAATTCTATTCTGATTACATAGGATTACAAGATTTGCAGTGGTAACTTAGAGATTTCATGGTGGAATTTGGTGCATTTGAATTTAAACTCTCGTGGCTTTCAGTCTACCACTGGGTGTTTATCCTCAGATAAATCCCACACTCACTCCCCTCTTTCAGAAGAGGAAATATTTTCAAACAAGATGAAAGAAATGTAACTTTCTTTACCTGAACTGATTGCAGCAAGTCTGAATATGTCGGACAAGCGTGAGCTAATCGGCTCGTAGGGAGAGTTTTCATATAGGTCATTACCTGCAAAAAATTAGGGTTGGCACAGTGATTAGAACAGTCAGCAAATACAAGGGATTCAGTTCTGTTCCATTGCTGCAATTCGACTCTTGGGGGAGAAAGTAAATTGACTGTGCAAAGCTCTTTGAAGCTTTTTACTGTTAAAGATCTAACCCAGAATACACACAAGTTATTTCATGAATTACATTGGGAGATGTTTTGTTTCTCATGTACTTCACCATAACTACATACCAGTCCTGATCTCCTACTTTGAAATCAGATGTATTTGGATTTGGCTCCACGAGCTATGTAGGCTTAAGGCCACGTTAGTATATTCCCTTTAAGTCCAGACAACTCGCTGGTTTAACCTATTTATGTGTTAATGGTTTGTATGTTTAGAAAGGGATGTCTCAGAACTATGTCCTCACTGGTGAGTGCATCCTGAATTAGAACACTGTCACAACTTGAGCAATCTCCAGGTAGAGTCATAGATATAACAGGTGTGGATTGAAGCTTTACCTGGGGACAAGAGCAGACCATTTATCCCCTGGAATCCATTTCACCATTCAGTGAGATTATGGCTTGTATTTTTCAGATTTGTTCTTAAGATTTGAGCATCACTGACCATGCCAGCATTTGTCAACCATGCTTAATTACCTTTGAGAATTTGATGCGCTGCTGCGGTCCACATACACTCAACATTGAAGGAACAGCAATATTGCTTCAGGTCAGGATGGTGTTTGGCTTTGAGGGGAACTTCCAAGTGGTGGAGTTCCCATGTATCTGCTGCCCTTGTCCTTCCAGATGAAAGGTCAGTCAAAGATGCCCTTGTGAGTCCTTGCAGTGTATTTTGTGCAGGGGACATGCTGCTGCCACTATGGACCGTTGGTGGAAGTGGTGAGGTGTGGTCATGGAAAGTAACAGATAGGGTACTAATTAATGCTTGTCTTATGTTTTCTTCCATAAATCTGCATTGACATAAAATTTGATGAGATGATTTTCCAAACCAAAATCTGTCAGTTAAGAATTGGCCAATACATTGCACTATTTGAACAGAATTGAATTTCTTGGAGGCATTTGGAACTCAGTTTCCTGCGATGCCCTAGAACGTTAATGCTTAACAAGCTATTGATTTGAGAAATGAAATGGCTGTTGGATCGCATGAAAATTTTGCTGAATGCACACATTGCACATGACTGCATCTGAAGATATTGTGAATTGGCCCAACATCTTTACATTTCTCTCCATTGTCTTTGAGGACAAATGTGTCAAAGTGAAACTGAGTTTTCTGCTCAATGAGTTCCATGATTACAATGAATAGCTTTCTCCTAATGATGGCAAGGATCCCGTACGTGTAAACTAGAAGCTGTGCTGATCAATTCAACAGGTAATATTGTTCTGGCTCACGTTTTAAGGAGTAGAGGTTGGGGATTAGGAATTGGAGAATAAACTATGAGGGCAGGCAACAAGCTGTATGAAATAGTGGGTAGGGTATTAAACTTTGTGGCATGACTTTTTCCACCAAAATATCCATTCTCATTTGCTGACAAATATTTTAATGATCTTCGTAAAGACCAATAATGTGTTCATTTTTTATTTCAAATCCAAAACCCCAGACATGTACGAAAAGTCTGAAGCCACAGGATTCACAGTTTGATTCAAGTGAACATTACTGAACAAAAATCAAAGAATTTGAATGTGAATAACCACACTCTATCTTAAATTGTCAGATACATTCAAAATATCAAAAGTACAATGAACACAGATACTTATGCTTCGCACCAAACTTCTTAAATCAACATTCCTTTTACAGTATATCTTTTTGATTTAGATCCCAAATAAATCCAAATCAGATATGATCAGTAATTGGAAGAGCCACTTGGTGTGAGGACTGTTTCAAAAATTTCTATGCGGGTTGAGATTACTTCTGCTGTGATTGTCATCTCCTCCAATTGTCTTAAGGTTGTATGCTCCCTGTTAGCACACATGTTGCTCATACTTTTAAAATGTTGCCACATCTGATCAGAATTCTCCTGATTCCATCTTGTTTAACTTTAATCTGTCGCATCAAGAAACACTCTCTCCCCTCATTTGGCTATCTCAAGTTCAACTCTGTGTTCACAGTCCTCCAGTTAACAAGAGTTTTAAACCTCTTGTCGCCAACACTTGGAAATTCAAATGGACTCTGCAAAAAAGAGGCATTGTCTGTTTTGCTGCCGGGTTGTTCTCAATTAAAACCCAAATTGCCTGAACACAGCAACACTTCAAGGGGCCTACTCACCACAAAACTATCCTTTTTTTCTTGTTTCTTTCCTCGACAGTGTAGTCACATGCTGGTTTGCAAGAAACAAGATTTACCAGAAAGTGCCTCTCAGAGAAACTTAATTTTTAAAGGGGCCAGTACCTTTACATTTTCCCCAAAGCCAATGACCATCATAAAATCATGGTAAGAATTTGTTACTGAAATTTACAGGCAGAGATCCAAAACATCTCCTGGTCTGCATCTGTCACAAGCACACTTACAAGGCTGCTTTTATAACTGGCTTATCACTTGACATTTCAACATTGTGTAAAGAGATGCAGTCACTCTTGGCACATTCTTGCATCTTGGCATTGAACTGATGTGACTTGCAAGAGCTTCAAAATCAGTGAACCATGGGTGAAATATGGACAGTCTTTCTTAAATTTGCTTGCCTTAAGAAATTCATCACCATCTTCCACCTGCTGCACAGTGGCATGAAAAATGTGATCATGACCAATGGACCCCACCACAGCTCCAATATATGTGCAAAGTCTAGCAAAGATGCATCATCACATCAATACTCTTCTCCATCTTTCTTGCCACAATATTGTTATGCTGACAGTCTTGCTGGATATGTCAAATCCCAGAGTGAAATCTAGCTTAATAGATCATATTGGTTTATTTTGATTCTGGATTTAACAAGATAGTCTCTCACTAAAACAAAAATACGCAATATTGCACGGTTGTCGCAGAGTCATAGAGTTGTACAGCATGGAAACAGACCCCTTGGTCCAACTCGTCCACGCCAACCTGATATCCTAAATTAATCTAGTCCCATTTGCCAGAATTTAGCCCATAGCCCTCTAAAGTTTTCCTATTCATGTACCCATCCAATGCCTTTTCAATGTTGGAATTGTACCAGCCCTGCTTCACTTCCTTTGGCAGCTCATTCCATACACCAAATATTTTACTCGGAATTCTATACCAAGGCACCCTGAATAGAGATGGCTCATTGAATACTATGTAGAAGTCACTCACTGAGATAATGCACATTTTTCAAAGAGTGCGGCTGAGAGAAAGTTAAGGATTTATCTGTTGTAGAAATACTTAGAAATTAATCATGAAATCACTTCAGACATAAAACCTATATCCCACGAGTTCAATATTCAAATGTCCAAACTCAAAAATAGATGATCTTAAAATATATGTAAGTCACACACTTAACATCACAATACTCTTGTCTTATTCTTAATATGGTATGGAGCTAATCTACAAACGAGCGTGAAAATTAAACCTGTGTTGCCTTCAGTTCACAACCCAAGACCATCCCAAGTTTGTCGTGTGCAGATGACACTTGTGTTAGCAGACATTCAGAGGTCACAGTCCATACTATCATCCATACTATAGTCAGAGAGGCTTATAAGAGAATGGACCTTAGGGTAAACATTACCAGCAATGTCTTCACAGAATGCTGCAAGTCTACTGGTGGAATAAGTGATCCAATATCAAGCTAACATTGACAGACTGGTTATGATCTGTCAGATGCATTGGGGAGGTCCAACTTCCCCAGGCCCAAATAATTCCAAAGCCTTCCAAAACCAGCTCTCTGCTCCAAGTTACATAACAACAAGGGCTTACCGGGGGGGCAGAATAAACACTTCAAGGACATCTTCAAATCCTGTTGATAAATTGAAATATCCTCAGAGATACATAAATCTGACTGTGGAGACTGCCTAATTTTGAGAAATATCTGCGAAGGAGCCAACAATTTCAAGTGTCTCCAATAAGACCACATTTTGAACAAGCACAAGCAATGGAACAAGTGTGCGAAAACCTGAGCACCCCACCCACTAGTTTCAGTAACACCATTTGTGCTAACTGTGGCAGGGTATACAGATCCAGCAGTGGACTATTGAATCACCTCAGGTTCCACAACACTGGAAGGAAGTCATCCTTGATTCCAAGGGATTGCCCAAGAGGAAAAATTGGACAGAAGTATTACATAGAAATTATCATCGTAAACCTAATGTATTTGTGAAATCAGTTTGGAGAGCAACTTGGTGGAGTGGTACCGTCGTGTCATGACGACATTACCAAAGTAGAAATGCACTAAAACATGAGTTCAAACTGCACCGCAGCTGAGAATTTCAGTTTAGCTGTTAGAAGTGTCAGCATCAAAGCTGATCATAGGACAAGAGACTATAAATCTGTTTGGATAAAATGCAACTTACTAATAACTATTTAGGAAAGGAACCCTTACCCTGTCAGCCTGTTATTTCTTAAATCGGTCAAAGAAAATTTAAAATCATTGTTTTGGTACACATGCCAGCTCTCTACCTGCTACTCCACATCCATAAACTCCTACTCTCAAGAAGACAAAAAGTGCTGGAGAAATTCAGCAGATATGGCAACATCTGTGAAGAGAGATAGAGTTGATGTTTCAAATCATATTAAAGTCAAAATATTAACTATATCTCTGTCCACCAATCCTGCCAGACCTGCTCAGTTTCTGCAGCACTCTGTTTTTATTTAAGATCTCCAACATCTATACTACTTTGCTTTTATTCCTGACCTCATAGTTTGTTTCCCCACTTCCCTACCTTTTACTTACACTGATTGCTATTGACCAACTTCCATCATTCCTGCACTGTATCCTATACCTGTGACTTGCATTGCCGGTTGATATCCGAAAATCCTCTCTCCTGTCAATATTACATACCAACTATCTCAAGCCCCTCAATGCAAAATTGATAACACCTGCTCCACCCTACTCCCTATATAT